TATAGTTTTTTTCATATAATGAAAATAATATTTTTTTGTATTGAAACCTTAGATATTTCCCTTTCATTTGATATAATTTTTTTTGAAAATTTAACACTTANCGTGACTGTGACAACAATGTCATAAAAAACCAATTAGCTACCTATATTTGTAATCCCTTGTGTATTATACCTGTATATTAATTCAAAAATTTGAAACTTTAAATGATTATATCTAATAAACGAATTAAGTTATATTAAAAATTCAAATGCCATTTACTATTAAATTAAAAACTCAAACATTTTATTAAATTAAAAATATGTGTTACCATTTAAAAAAACAAAGTTGACCCCCTTCCAAGGCATAAGGGATGAACTTAAAAAGTATTACATAGTTAATAATTCAAGAATAATGTGTAACTAAAGATAATAAAAAAAAATGTTTAAATTATTATTATTCTATAAGTAATTGAGTGAGTTATGATAAAAAAATCACCTGTATTCTATAATATACTGATATTTAAATATATACTGTTCCTAGTTTCATCTAAGATAACTTCCGCTGTTGTGTTGAATTTTATTTTAATCTATATTTTTTTATATATTAATACTTTTTTTTAACTAATTAGTAGTAATAGCAAAAATTAGTGGTGATGGAAAAAACATAATTGAAAATTTGAAATCACCGCGAGAAATGGGTTCATAAATATATTTTTACTCTGATAAAAATTCCTTGTAGATCAGTAAATTTATTGTAGTGTAACAAACAACTTTTTTTTTGAAAATTATTAAATTAAGCCTTTAAACTTTTATAAATGTTTGACATAAATGTAATAACTACTTATGATTTTTTATAATTTGTCCGTAAAAATTACAATACTAAATTATTAAATATTATAAGTTTTTGGAAGTGTACTATAGTTAATAGTGTACATTAGGCTGGTCCTTATTTTTCAACTTTATAATAAATTGTGCGGCACCCCCTAATTTTGTTTATTTTTAGATAATAATGATTTTTGTTGAGTTTCGTAAGATTTACTTACCCCCTTCGGGTGCCGAATGAGGGTTGAAAATCCACTGAATAGGGTGGTTTTTTAGTTTTCGGCTAATATCTCAACAACAAAAGCTCAAAACGAAAAATTGTATAGAATAAAAATTATAGACCTTAATATTTTCTATATAAATTGTATCTTTGCAAATTCTCGTAGGTTGATTTTTTTCCTAGCCAGGACAAAAACAAAAAAATATTTGAATAGTTCGGTACATCAAACAATTATAAAAGTATTTACGTTTACAGGGACAACTGATTATAATATATACAAAATAAATCATAAAAAGATTATAAAATATACTCTATAATATAAGTTTAAAAAAATGCATTTTATAAATTAGCACACTAAGGTGTCAATGAAAGTACTAGTATTTCTTTACATAATTGACATTTAAATTAGAATGTTGCTGTCATCGATTTTTTTTTGTGATCTGGAAAAACTTTTCGATATTTCTGAACGACCTAAAACATGTTAAGTATAAATTAGTAATTTAGCAATCCGTTCTATATATTTTATTGCAATTTACTTGAAGTATAAATTGTTTTTGTGCTTCATTTTTCGTTAGTGTATCATTGAACTCCTCCATCAATTTCACACCCCTTTCAGCAGTGTCATTTACAACACGGATTGATTTAACTATTTTTTTCGCTTCTTGGTAATACTTATCACCTTCCCAATTCGAGGAGTCTAATTTCAAAAATTCTGTATCGATATTAAATCTTATAAAAAAATATCCCGAACTTTGTTCAAGCATATCTGTAAAAAACTCTTGTTTCAGAAACGTCTCCACATTATCTATTTTTAAAAAATATTTTTTTTAAAATCGCTTAGATCTGATGGGTAAGTAGATAAATTATTTAAAATAATTTTTGCCATTTTATTTCGGGTTTCTAACGAAACTCTATTATCAAATATTGAAAAAACAATACATTCTTGATTAAAGTACCACAAATGATTTAAAAATTTTTTTAAACACGAATCTGCAATAATTTTATCATCATTTTTATATTCATATAGAGTCCTTATTAAGTGCATATCGTTTAGTGGCGCTTCACATGATTGGTCAGCCATAGACCACGGCCTTATATAAATTTTTATAATAAATGCACATATTCTGCATATTGCAGTCTCTTCCGACTTGGATAATTTGAATTCTTGTTGAAGTAAAAAAATTTTCAAACNGTTTAAAAAAATGCATTTTATAAATTAGCACACTAAGGTGTCAATGAAAGTACTAGTATTTCTTTACGTAATTGACATTTAAACATGTTGTGAATATCTAGTTTATTTATTGCTGAAATTTTTCCAATTTTTTGTCACTAAGCAAGATTATTGTGTTCATTGTTGCACTTTAGACCTTTTACATTATTTGATAATGATCACAATAACTGGAAAATTTTGATAAGTTTGGCTACTTTAGTAATACGATCAATTTATTATCTAATCATTCGCCACTTTTATTTACAACTTGTTTTTTTTACTCGTTTGTTCCGCGGTTCATGCGTTTTGGTATTGTTTAGTGTTTTTTATTTATTCATTTATTCAGCTTAATTAATTTTTTTGAGATATTTGAAAATGACGCGAGAATTTATTTATTTAATTGGCCCAACTAATATTCAAATTCTTGGCAGCAAATTACCCTCCATAGGTGACTGTATGCGTGTATTATTTTATAACATGCGTTTTGCCAAAATGACGTTGTCTGAAAGTTGTCTACTAGTAATAGAGGAATGTTTAATTTTTTGGAGAAAAGCACGGATTCCAACAAAAGATAAATCACACTGTGTAAAAAAGTTGAAAAAGGAATATGACGCTTGGAGGGCACTCGAAAAAAGTAAAAACCATGGAAGCGAACATCAAAAAAATAAAGAAAAAAATTATATAGAAAGTCTAAATAATCTTTTCGATATTGCTCATCAAGATGCACTAAATATAATAAGTATTGCAGAAGATAGAAAATTTTTGCTCTCACAGAGACTCCCCGGACGCCCCGGTTGTATGCTTGGTGTAGATATGGTTCTTAATGCTAAAGAAAAAAGAAAGAAAAAAAAATTGAAAAAGAATTGAATAAAAAAAGAAAACATGAATCAGAAGCCTTAAAGTTATTCTCAGGTAATTTAAG